AAAGATTAATGCTCTTTTCCTCTGAGATTGCTTTAGGCAAATTATCAGAAATGCTTGGTGAGGTGGCTTATGCCTATAATCCTAGCACCTTAGGAGGCCAAGAAGGGGAGGATAGCTTGAGGTCAGGAGTTAGAGACCATCCAGAGCAAGAAGAGCAAGACCTGTCTCTACAAAAAAAATAGAAAAATTAGCCAGGAGCGGTGGCACATGTCAGTAGTCCCAGCTACTCGGGAGGCTGAGGTAGGAAGATCACCTGAGCCAGGAAGTTTGAAGTTGTAGTGAGCCATGATCCCCCTGAGTGAGACCCTGTGCCCCCTCCCAAATGCTTACAGACAAAAGCTTTCTGGTTACAACCGGGCTTCCCTATCTTACCCAAATGGTTCTCCGTGTACAACCCCCAGCTACTTCTAGCAAGAAAAGGCCCATGCAAGGGAGGGGTCCTGGAAATTGAAGCGTCATGTGGTATCTGCCTCGGCCTTTGAGAATACACTGGATGAGGGAAGGCAATTGAGGAAAGAATCCTTAGGAGCCCTCACAATTAATTGATTGAGAGGTCATGAAACGTCCTGTAAGGAGAGTGATACCAAGAGGCCAGGGAAGTAGGAGGTAGAGAAGCCTGAGCAAGGCTGGCGTCACAGAAGGAACAGCTGTTTGAGCATCAACCTTACTTGCAATCAACTGTCTGCCAAGTTCTGCTAATTCTTCCTTTTCAGTATCTCTCTCCACCCATCTTCACTGCCACCTCCTGGACAGTGGCACCCTTACACTTGGGTTATTGCTCCAATTGTCCCTATCTCCAGTCTTGCAGATATCCTTACAAGCACACCATGCATCCTGTTAGATCACCCTTTGTAAAGTGGAGCATGGACCATCCCAATCCCCTGCTCAAAAACTTTAAATAACTCCCTGTCCCGGCCAGCTGAGGTTGCTCATCCCTGTAATCCCAGCACTCTGGGAGGCCAAGGCAGTGGATTGCCTGAGCCCACGGGTTCGAGACCAGCCTGAGCAAGAGTGAGGCCCTGTCTCAAAAAATAGCTGGGAGGGTGGCACCTATGGCTCAAGGAGTAGGACGCCAGCCCCATATGCCAGAGGTGGCGGGTTCAAACCCAGCCCCGGTCAAAAACTGCAGAAAAGGCTCGGCGCCTGTGGCTCAAGTGGCTAAGGTGCCAGCCACATACACCTAAGGTGGAGGGTTCAAATGCAGCCCGGGCCCGCCAAACAACAATGACGGCTGCAACCAAAAAATAGCCAGGTGTTGCGGCGGTTGCCTGTGGTCCCAGCTACTTGGAAGGCTGAGGCAGG